TTGGCCACACTGCTGACCAAGGCTGAAGGGAGCAGTCATCCCTGGGCAACATCTGGAGGAACACCTGTTCCTGGCTCCACCATTTCCTCCTATGATAACTAGTCTCTTTAAAACTGCAAAAGATCTTTCACAAGGGATGACATTTCTCATCATGCTCCTCTACTCCTTCTAACAGCAGCTTCTGAGACTGGGCATGTGGTTCTGTCTGGGACTGCAGGCCAGAAAGAAAAGATCTTTCCTGGAAGTCAGTCTACTCAAACCCAATCAGCACATCTGCACATTTACTAGAGAGAGCTACTGCTTTGCCTGGCAATTGCCTTTGCATTTCCTCTCCTGGATAAAGTGGTATCCCCTCTAAGTGTGATTGCTTTGCCCTGACATTAGTTCTCCCTCCATTGACCATATATATCACTGGAGGTAATATGTAACCATCACCACCACCACCACCACCTTTGAACTGCAGAGATGGAAGGGGCCCTTTGGATCATCGAGTCCAGCCCCTGTCAAGAAAGTACAGTGGGGAATTGAACTCACAACCTCTGGCTCCGCAGCCAGAGACCTTATTTCCAAATATCTATAAACCATTTAGATCTAAATACAATGTTAAAATGTACAATAAAAAAGAAATATGAAAAAAAAATTAAAAATCGATGATTTTTTTTTAAAGATGCCATCAGATTGCTACCATTGGAATCAGGATCCCTGGCAGTGATCTGTTGGGGATTTTTAACTTTTAATGTCTCCTGTTTCATCTTATGGCTTCTAAAGCCTTTTCCAGGGCAAAAGGGAATCTCAGGGTGGATTTGATCAAAGTCACATTGATTTAAATTACAATTTAAATTGTGATTTAAATTTTAAAAAATCAGATTTTTTAATGATTTAAATTTTAAAAATCAATTTTTAAAATTTAAATCATGATTTAAATCATTTTTAAAAAACATTGATTTTTTTATGTACCCTGCCAGGGAGCCTTAGAATGTGAAATGAGGGCATAGGAAGCTTTACATCAATTTCAGTTAATTATTTCCAGCACTCAGAACAGGTGTATGCAAAATTACACAATTTTGCTTGTTGCCTAATACTCCCAGTTGCAAATTCCGATCTTTCATCTTGGAAATATTGCTAGGAACCAAAAAGATTTACCTTGCCACTTAAAAGTGAAAAATGAACAATTCCAATCAAAATCCCTTTTAAAATGCTTCAGAATGCCCTTTAAAACTAACCTCTGAAAGTACCTATGTGGTAATAATTACAGCTAAAAATAACTTTACAATTGATCATTATATTGTTACCAAAAAAGCAATGAGCTATAGGTGATCTATTTGTAACTACTGTATTCCCTCGAAGCTCTGCAATTAGGCTTAGAGCTATCCCTGTTGGTAAAAACTGAAGCAGGCACATTAGAGATACTGCATTCTTGATTATAAAGTAACTGTGCATTGTATTTTTGAAACCTTTTTGAAATAAGTTATTAATTATTTCAGTTAATTTGAATTAATTGAATAACTTGTTAATAGAAAAAAGGAAGAGTCATACAGTAACGTCAAAATATATCCTTTGCACTGTGACTTGATTTAAAGATCCTGTTAGACAACATTTTGGAAGATACATGTTTTGAAGTCAAGATGAAACTTGTATTCATAAACCAACAGATTTAGACATGTATGGTAATTGCTTAGTAAGACTTTGATTTAATCTGTGTACCAGATCATTTACAGAGGACACAGATTTCATTGAGTTTGAACTACCTGCAAAACATGCCCAATGTCTGGGTAATAACTAGCACTAGTGTGAATCGAAGTTTCCTGCTCTCATGGAGATTCTCTGAACATCACAAATCCAGAAGAATCATGAGAATGGAAGCAGTAGGGCAGCAGCTATCTCTTCTCCCCTCACGTGCTGCCTGTTATTGGGATGCAGAAGCCTAGGTAAACCCTCCCCTATACCTCTTCTCTCTCTCTTCTTTCTCCTCAAACGCTGTGGGACACAATAAACAAGAATCAGCACAACAAGAGCCAATTCAGTGTAGCTGTTCAGGTGGACTTTTACACTCTGCCAGTATTGAACAGCACATTAGAGATACTGCATTCTTGATTATAAAGTAACTGTGCATTGTATTTTTGAAACCTTTTTGAAATAAGTTATTAATTATTTCAGTTAATTTGAATTAATTGAATAACTTGTTAATAGAAAAAAGGAAGAGTCATACAGTAACGTCAAAATATATCCTTTGCACTGTGACTTGATTTAAAGATCCTGTTAGACAACATTTTGGAAGATACATGTTTTGAAGTCAAGATGAAACTTGTATTCATAAACCAACAGATTTAGACATGTATGGTAATTGCTTAGTAAGACTTTGATTTAATCTGTGTACCAGATCATTTACAGAGGACACAGATTTCATTGAGTTTGAACTACCTGCAAAACATGCCCAATGTCTGGGTAATAACTAGCACTAGTGTGAATCGAAGTTTCCTGCTCTCATGGAGATTCTCTGAACATCACAAATCCAGAAGAATCATGAGAATGGAAGCAGTAGGGCAGCAGCTATCTCTTCTCCCCTCACGTGCTGCCTGTTATTGGGATGCAGAAGCCTAGGTAAACCCTCCCCTATACCTCTTCTCTCTCTCTTCTTTCTCCTCAAACGCTGTGGGACACAATAAACAAGAATCAGCACAACAAGAGCCAATTCAGTGTAGCTGTTCAGGTGGACTTTTACACTCTGCCAGTATTGAACAGGATCTAGGCAACCAGGCCTGGACCTATGATGTAGAAAATAATACTGACATACTATAAAGTGTTATGCAGGTTACTGAAATTTTGGGCAAAATCCTGTTGCTTTGTGTAGCAGATCACACTAAAGTAGGCCCACTGAATCAACTGTGATTTGGGGAGTCAACTCTTCCTGCATTAGGGGCTAGGCACTTTACTCCTTCTGTGTTAATTCAAATTCAAATGGGCCTACTCTAACTGTGACTTATGCTAAAGTAAGTTACAGTTAGAGTTACAGTGAGGCTCATTTGAATCAACTGAACTCACTAAATCCCCACTGATTTAATGGTCTTACTCTACTGCAACATTCCCTCTAAGCTGTGTGTGACACACTCGCCCAGAGTCCATCGGAGTGCACATGGTGCAGCAAGCAGTTTATTTACTTCCCATTTTGAATGAAGCCCTGCCCATCCTCCCACGCACACTGAGCAAGACTCCTGTGCAGCGGGACAGAAAATTAGAGGGAACATTGCTCCAGTACATTTTATTTTGTCAAGCAACAAGGTTTTGATCAGTGTATACGAAGATCTCTGAACACTCAAGAATGATGTAGAGTCTTCCTTTGTGTATGTTTATTTGACTTAAATCCTAACCTTTCTTATTTGACTTAAATCCTAACCTTTCTTTCAGTACTCGGACTCAAGGCAGTTTATAACAAGATTAAAATATAGGTACTGTAAAAACAAATAGAAAAATTGCAATTCTAAAAAACAATGAAATAATTATAATATTAAAACATAAGTTTAAAAAATATTTTAAAAATTTATAAAAGGCAATCAATCCCCCCAAGGCTTTCTCAACAGCCAGTCACTTGCTGGAAAACTTCTTGAATAAAAGGGTCTGCCCACAGACATTATAAATTCTTGCTTCACATTTCATGTAGCAACCTGAGGAGGAACCATGTGATGAAGGTTTCCAAGTCTGCCATCCTATTCAGACTTACCTGGCAGTATATCCCATTACAATGGGCTTTATCTGTTTTGGGTACAGGACTGCATTGAAGGTACAGTATTTCTCCATCCTAGATTGTATATCTTTAAAATATATTAAAAGTCTCGCATCATTGTTGCAAGAGACCATCCCATCTGCACATTTATAGTTCTTCCTTTGAAGGCTTTTTCCTGTGGCAGTCACAAATTGAAGTCCTATCATCAGGCTGAGGTACAAATTCCATTCCATCCCTTATTTCGGGCTTACTGGTTTGGCGTTTGGCATATTTCTGAAAGATGTAAATTGTGTTTAAAAACTGCAGCAATAGTGAGCTATTCAAAAGAAAAACATGTCTCTCCCCATCCCCCACATCATCATTCTGTATAATCTCTTTAGCCATTACTCCTTCCCATGGAACCTAATTAAATTATTCTACCAACAGTACTGCTTCCATCACTGGAAGCAAACGAAGGCTATTCCCTTTCCTCACTCTCATCCTCCTTTTGGGAAGGCTGGAAATGCAGGGCAGGCAAGGAGAATAAAGTGGCATTTTAAAAATGGACAACACTAAATTCTTACTATGGTTTTCTTTGCAAAATAGCTGCTGTAATCCTGAGTACATAAACTAGGAAGAATGTAAATTTGAAGTCAAAGGGGTTTACCTTTAATTAAATGTGCATAGGATTGAGATACTGTTGGAGAAAGCATCTTCCAGCAATTCTTAGCTATGATTTTTAGACATAGTTTCTAGAACCAATTGCAGTAATGTTAACACCTTGTCTATACACACACCCATGCTAGCAGGAGTATGTTCCTGACGCTCTCATGAACACAAGGCCAAGTTTAACAAGTTGGACCTGTTCTCAGCAACTGAGTATTAAAATTTCTCACGTCAAATGTGTGGTTAAAGTTGTTGCCATGTATCTTCAGTTAAAACGACAGCTTGCCTGCACAGCTACATGCAGTCTGCATTTAATTTATTTTAAAACAATGTTCAAATCCTGTGCCATGGCAACAGGTGGGGCTTAGTTAAAAAAACAAAACAATAAAACCACCCCTCCTTACATATAGAAACAAAGCAGATGAGAGAGATGATGCATTGCTTCATATATGGGACTTTTTTCCCTACAAGGGACCATTCAAAAATGCAATTCCTCCACCTGCAGATGAAAACAGTGGAGTCCAAAGACAGCTTTGGATTCTGTTGAATGTATGAACTCTCTATTTGCTTTATTTAACTCAATATGGTCTATAATGATTCGAATCAACTCTCCAGAATTTCAGGCAGAATCTCTGCCAGCCTTGCAGACTTAAACCTGGAATCTTCTACATGGGAGAGAAATGGTGGGAAACTTTAAAGAATTCATTGGCCCTATTCAACCCTCCCACCCCTTTTAAAAATATGGGCTTTCCCACTCTGATGAAAATGAAACAGAAAACTATTAGTAACTATGAACAAATCTTTGTCATTCAGCAACAGTGGATCAAAATTTGCCAGACTTTTAAAGCATAATAATAATCCAGATCAAACACAAGAAACCACATGAAAAAGCCATAGCAACCTCCATTCTCCCTATGTTCCCTTCCTATTTTGTGCTTATAAGATGGTAGTCAGAGACTTCCAATTCTGATTTTTACTTCACTCTGGCATCCATGTTTGGAGGACTGTTTGTTTAATTTGGGTTACTAAGAACAAGTCATGATTTAACTACAACTTAATATCCTGGTTTGTTTAAAAATCAGGTTTTAAACAGTATCTTAACAGTATTCAGATGTCAGGGGAAATCTGGTTAATTTAAAATTGTACACAGATATTCCTGGTCTCCTCCGTCATACAAAGGAAGAGGAGAGAGAAGAGGGTGGCTTGTAAGACTAAGGCTTGGTGCAAGATGTTCATATGCCTGAAAAATCATGATGTTCTGTCTCAAAAAACCAACTATAGAATTACAGCAGTCAAGGCAAGAGTGAGTGTGTAGCAATGTAAAGTTAGCAACCGCTGAACTGAAGCCTGGACTAACCTGGAATACTTTGAAATAGTAGCAATAAAACCGATGTGGCTGCAGTAGTTCTCTTGCAGCTGCCTGACCGTCCTTAGCAATTTTTCTAACAAAATCATCATTTTCCTGAGAAATTGAAAAGAAATAACAAACAAAAAATTATCAGAGAAGAACATATGAAGTCATTTTGTTCCTTTCCAATCTAATTGAGCTTAGTGAGGGATAAGCTCACTGTTTGGGAAAATGCAGAAATGCTATGGTACAGACAGTTATTGTACACTGATATTACAGTGGTGCCCCGCATGACAACGATAATCCGTTCCGTTAAAATCGCTATAAAGCGAAATCGTCGTCATGTGAAAGTAAAAAACCCATTGGAATGCATTCAACACCGGTTAATGCATTCCAATGGGGGAAATACTTGCTCGTTTTGCGAAGATCCTCCATAGGGGAAGCCATTTTCGATAGCTGTTTTCCGGAAATAGGTCCAGAAAACAGCGCGGAGCCATTTTGAGAACCGCTGTTCAGCTGTTTCTAATCGTCGTCCAGCGAAAAAACGGTTCCCGAAGAAGGGAACTATTCACCGTTAAGCGAAAAACCCCATAGGAATCATTGTTTTGCGATCGCTATAGCGATTGCAAAAAACTCATCATTAAACCATTTCGTCGTGAAGCGGGGTCATCGTCAAGCGGGGCACCACTGTATAACGAATCACTTCAATGTACAGTAGCTACCTACACTTCTGCATTATTGACTGTATTCTCTTCCTATTTTGCCTTAGCCCTTTAAAACTTCAGGAATATTAGCTGTTTCAGATCAGATAGTTGTAGTGTGGTGCTGTTAAGGATGAATATTTCATAAATTTATGAAAGTCTATGGTCGAAGCCTTCAGCTAACTGTACAGACAAGTTTGACATCTCTCATTCATATAAAGTAGGTTACCAAGAACACAGGGATGTAATTGTTTCAACCCGTATAATCATATCTATTTTATGTGTTGTGAAGCTTATGAAGAAAACAATGAAATATGTTCTAAAAGATATAGAACAGCATGATTATACAGCTATTTACCACCTAACAATTCCAAGGCCTTGTTTCATGTTTCAACTGG